GCTTTGCCAAGCTTGTTCCAAGTAGGTGCTTTAAACCACTGAGCCATCTCACCAGCCCGGGATTTCTGATCTTAACTAGCTAAAAACTGATTATCAAACAAGCTGAGGCAGAGGGAGACGAAGAGGGGAGAGAGATTATTAATTGAAAAAAGTAAGACTGTTTCATCTGGATGGTCATGGGACACAGGGGCACCTACAGCTGCCTCTTGGGAGGCTGAATCGGGAAAATCACTTGAACCCAAGAGTTGCCAGCCTTGGCAATACAGCAAAATTTCATTCTCAAAAATTCCACCATAGCTGGGTAGGACAGCGCATGCCTGTAGTCCCCAGCAGGGAGCCTGATGAAAAAGTAAAGCAAGTTTAAGCCCAGCCTGAGGACTGGCCAGATAGCTCAGCAGATGAAAGTGCCTGCCTAGGCAGACACAGGGCCCTGGGTTCAATCCCGAGAGTGCGTGCCGGTCCCACCCCTCAGAGAGTGCTGAGCTGGCGACGAGACTGGGCATGATGGGGTGTGCCCACAATCCCAGCACTTGGGAGGTTGAAAACAGAAGGATCACTACTGTGTAGTGAGACCCTGAACTAAATACATTAAAAAAAAAAACAGCCCAGGTAATATAACAAGGCCTACCTCAACATAAAAGTAAAAAAAGTCCTGCATGTAGTTCAGTGGAAGGCTTGGGTTCAAGTCCAGTACCACAAAAATAAACCAACCCATGGATAAAATGCTGGACACAAAGGGTCTCACAGCAGCACCACCACAGAGAAGATGCTGTGAGCACTGAGCTGCTAACAGGCTGCACGGCCATCACTCACCATGCTTGTCAGCCCCAAATTCACTGCACCAAGACAGGCAGACTAGAGGTGGAGGAGGGCTTATCCATGCAGTCTAACAGCACAAACATATGCTTTTGTTTTAAAATAGAGAAAAGGCATCCTTATCTCAAAAAGCACAACTACTGCATTTTAAGCTCTTTAATAAAAACAATCTAGGGCCTAGGGAGATAGCTCAGTAGAATAAAGTGCTTGCCTGGCAAGCACAGGGGCCTGAGTTCAATCCCCAGTACCCTCCCCTAAAAAATAAAAAACAATCTGCTTATTCGAATTTGTACTTATATTGTGGCAGGTTGGGTAAAAAGCTAGGCTGGAAAGAGGGTAAAAAGAATCTAGCCATTATTCCTTTTGAACCTAGCACTGCAGTGGCTGGGGCAGGAGGATCTCTGTGAGTCTTAAGGGCCAACTTCAGCTTCCCAGTAGGCTCAAGGCTACCCCAAACTACACAGCAAAACCCTGTTGCAAAAAAACCATTAAAAAAAAAAGATGGGGACGGGGAGATGGCTCAGTGGAATAAGTGCCTCCCTGGCAAGCGCAAGGGCCTGAGTTCAACCCCCAGTTCTGCCAAAAAAAAAAAAAAAGAGAGCGAGCTTTGTTTTGTTGGACCTGTGACTTGGTGCTTGAAATCCAATCAAGAACAACAGGGTTATTAATTCATAAAGCTAGGGAGAGTCACTATTGGATTCATACTCCTGCTTAAGAGTGCACAAGTAGTAGAGGCTCTGGAACCTTGGAAAAGCAGTATTTCAGAGGCAAAGTCAGCAGGGAACAAATCAAGAAGAACCATACAAGGTGGCTGGCTGCTGCTGCTATTATGCAAATTCTCTCTACCCACTTTTAGTGAGATACCAACTCTAGACTTTTTTTTTTTTTTTGGTGGAACCAGGGATTGAACTCAGGCCCTTGTGCTTGCCAGGCAAGCGCTTATTCTACTGAGCCATCTCCCCGGCCCCAACTCTAGACTGAATAATGTAACAGTCATACAAAAACACCAACCCTGAAGAGAAGCAAAACATGGTAGGAAGTACTTACTTATAACTGCGAAAATAAACCTTCCCCTTCAGAGCAGTGAAGTGTAGAACATACTCTAATCCAGCCAGGCGGATATTTGCCACCGTGGGGCCTCTGAAGAAATCTAAAAGAGCACAGTAAATTGTTAGTGGTGCATTCTCAATGCCCTATTTTGCACAAATACTAACATAAAAGGTGAGCAAACACCTCACAGATATTTAATTCATGACTTTATTTTTTTTACTCAGTTCACTGACAGTGTTTCACATTTGATGTTTACCCTATCAAGCCACTGCTCAGCACAGGATCATCGCATTTATCATGTTTGGTGACTTTAAAAAAGAATGTCGGGCTGGCCAAATAGCTCAGGGGACTAAAGCGCCTGCAAGCAGGCACAGGGGCCAGGAGTTTGATCCCCAGGTCTGCCGGGGCGGGGCGCCTGTAATCCCAGCTCTTGGGAGGCTGTAAACAGGTGGATCACTATGAGTCTGATCTAGTAGTGAGACCCTGAACAACCTGTAGACCCTTCCCTAAAAGAAAAAAAAAAAAAAATTTATAAGGGGCTGGGGAGATGGCTCAGTAGAATAAGTGTTTGCCTGGCCAGGGCCTGAGTTCAATCTCCGGTTATGCCAAAAAAAGAAAAAGTAATAATAAATAAATAATAATAAATTTTAAAAATTAAAAAAAAAGAATGTTAAGTCACAGTATCAAACTATAGGCTGTAGACAGGTACACGATGAGCCCGTGACTGGCCAAGGGACACAATGAGTCCGAGTACACTGGCCAAAATGGTCTAAAACACTGGAAATGCCCATCAAATGATGAATGGATAAAGACACAGGTTTTTTTTGTTTTTTTTTTTTTTTTTTTTTACAGTGGAGTGCTACTCTGTCATAAAGGATAAGCTTGACACATTTCTAAATCGATGCACCTTCACACCATACTCTTAAGTGAAATAAATTGGACACACATGTAAATACTACACTGTTTCTCTGGTGTGAGAAACTACAAGTATACAGAAGGAACAAATATATACTAGATATTGTAAAATAGGAAGAAAATGTTCAAATGAGAAGGGGACCTAGGGAGGTAAGAGGGGGAAAAGGAAAAGGTCAGGGAGAAAGCACTACAGTCTAAATGCCGGCCTCGCAAGTGCAAGGACCTAGGTTTGATCCCTAGTATCATATGCAATGCTGGTCCCAAACCCCAGGTATGCTGTGCTGGCCAACAAAACCAGGCGTGATGGTGCAAACCTATAATCCCAGTGCTGGGGAGACTGAGTCTGAGCTCACAGTCTGAGCTACAGCTGCCCTATACCAGATTTTTTTTAAAAAAGGGGGGGGGATAAAATGAAAAAAGAAAATGGAAACAAAGCTTTTATAAGTAAGGAAGGTAAGAAAGATTGAAGAGAGGAGAGGCAAATTGGAAATGAAAAAAGAATGAATTTTTACCATGTACAGGTACAAATTCCCTATAATAAATGTGATGATTATGTATACCTAAAATGTACCAACAACTTAATAAAAAAAAAACCTCTAAAATATCAGGATGAAACCCAGTGTGCCACAGTACACAGCTGTAATTACAGCACTTGGGAGGCTGAGCCAGAAGGATCATCACAAGTCTGGGGCCAGCTTGAGCTACATAGTTTTAGAGCCAGCCTAACTTTTTTTTTTTTCTTGACACTGGGAATTTAACTCAGGACCTTATGCTTGCCAGACAAGTACTTATGCCACTGAACTATCTCCCCAACAGAACCAGCCTAAACTACAAAGCAAGACCCTGTCTTGACAGGTAAAATGATTGACTAACTGAAAAAATAGCTACATGGATTGACTAATAGTTACACAGACGGACTGACTGACTAAAAAATAGCTACAGGCAGGCAGGCAGGCAGCATGGTGGCTAAAGTAAAAATGCAGGCATTGTTAGTATGGGGATAAGGATTAAAAACCCAGTCAAATAGAAGGGGGTTGAAGAGGTAAAATACAAGCTAATTATAGTCAGAAATGAAATGCTTCATGTTTGGATTTTTTCAATGAATTAATTCCAAGTAAAAATAAAATTTCAAGTAAGTAAATGAAGTAGAAAGGTAGACAGGAAGTTGATCAGGGTAAAAGAAAAAAAAGCACAGGATTAGGTAGCTACGAGTCAGGGTATAACATCAGATCTTAATTCTGCCACTTACTAGTAATTTTTCACTTTAGGCAATTGGCTGATTTTAATTTCTTCATCCATACTTTGGAGTAATATTGCTGTTAAGAACTCAATGTTTGTAATCTTAATATTTGTATTTTGAAACCCTAATCCAAGGATGGCTGTATTCATCTATCTATCTATCTATCTATCTATCTATCTATCTATCTATCTATCATGAATGCATCATGCATTCTGTGTTGCTGGGAATGGAACTTAGGACCACCTAGTGTGTACTAGACAAGTGCTCTACCACTGAATGAATGGGGCCTGTAAGGAAGTAATTAAGTTTAAATGAATTCATAAGGGGAGGCTCTAATCCACAGGCATCCTCATTTAAAATAAATAAATAAATCACAAATAAGGTTATTTACTCTTTCCTCCAAGGCATGAATCAAAGACAGGCCCTGGGAGGACAGAAGCAAAAAGACAAGCCATTTGAAGACAGGAAGAAAGCTCACATTAGAAATCAGAACTGATAGAAACTTGCATTTCCAGCCTCTGGAACTATGACAAACTATATAGTTTAAGCCACCAAGTTAACAGTATATTTTGTCAGCTCAGGAAAACTAGTCCAGCTGGGGATGGTGGCACATGCCTGTAATCCCAGCACTTGGGAGGCTACGACAGGAAGATCACTGAGATTTCAAGGCCAGCTTGAACTGCATAGCAAGATCCTGTCTCCAAAAAAACAAAAAACAAAAAAGAAAACTAGTTCCACTGTCTGTGAGGTAGTAGAGAACACTAATAAATTACCTGACATAACATACAGTAGTTATTTCCACTACTGTATACTTTCCAAATGGAGTAAGAAATAAGAAAGGTAAAGGAAGTGACAACTGATAGAACTACAACCATGGATGTAAACAAAGGCAATAAAGAAAAATCAACCTACATAAGGAAATAATAGACCTTTTGTTCTTTTTATTTTTGCATTTTTGACATACGGTCTCAATTTGTAGTGTAGGCCAGGCTTGAACTTACTATGTAACTCAGGCTAGCCTCAAACTCATGGCAAACCTCCTGCCTCAGCCTCCTAAGTGCTAGGATTATAGGTGTGTGCCACCATGCTCAGCCAAACAGTAGGTCTTACGGCAACATTTGACAAAACCAAAAATCTCTTGTCATTTAATATCATTTTTGGGTTTTTTTAACTATCATTTTTAGATACAAGAAAGTCACACTAAAAAAAATAAAGGATAATCAAAGAAAGAAAGAGAGAAAGAAAGACAGACAGCAAGCAAACAAACCAGAAATGTCATGCCTAGTGCCACTTAGTGCTAGTATGCGCCTAATAGGTGTTTGGACTTGGTTTTGACTCTCACCATTAAAAATAAAGGGAAAGAAAATTAGAGTAGGCTGAATCTAAAAGTTATGTTCTGATTTTCTATTAAGAAAAAGCAGGGCTGGTGAGATAATCCACAGGTGTCCCTGTGGATTGGACTAAAGTGCCTGCTTTAGCCCCCAACCAGGGCGGGTTGATCTGGCCAGAGTCCGGGTGTAGTGGCGCACGCCTGTAATCCTAGCGCTGGGGAGGCTGAAAGCAGGAGGATCACTTGAGTCCAAGCTGCATAGTGAGACCCGGCAACAACCAAATACATTAAGAAAAAAAAGCACGCACATGCACATACAAAAAGGGAAACACCTGGCTTAGTAGCTCATGCCTGTAATCCCTACACCTGGGAGGCCAAGGCAGGACTTCCAGTCTGGGCTACCCAATGAACTCAAGGTCAGCCTAAACTAAATAGTAAGACTTTGTTTTAAAAAAAAAAAACCAGGGAAAAAAACCCCTAAAAGTGAAAAGCAGTTTAGATTAAGTTTATTATGTGGAGGTCCCCAAAAATTTATTATACAAATCTATATAACATTTAAGAAAGCAGAAAAGAAACTTCCTAAAAAGCACTGATTAATTTCTTTCTCCACTGATCTACTATTTAGTCTATGACACTGCGATGACAAAGCACCAGACAAGGTCCTTTTGGCCAGCAAGAACCACATACAATACATGACCAACTGGTGATACCACAGCACTGTTTGTTTAAACATGGACGAGATCCCCGGCTGACACGTTTTTCAGAACACATGCTCTTCATTAAATTGTCACTTATACGAAAGCCCCGCTTCCCTTGGTAGAACCTCAGTCCCCTCTCTGCTATCAAGCCCCTCCCTCATGCTATATCATGCAGTCACTCCTGCCACCTAGTGGACATGCAGAATGGGACATTAGCACTAGTGCTTAACACAATTATACAGGAAAAAGGAGAGGGTGGGCAACTAGGCAACAGAGAACAAACATTTTGCCTGAAAATCTGAAAAATATTTTTTTTTAAAAATTTTTTAAAAAAGCAAATTTATTTTTT